TAAAAACAATACTTAGTTTGATTGCATTGAAATAGACTACGTCCTTTGTGTAAAGACATTTACTTCTAAGCCAATAAACTCGTTTGCTTTAAAACGTTGTTTGACATTTAAAGTTAGGAAGGAAGCACTAAGACCCAAGATTGAGTAATTTGTATAATTTAAAGGTAAACCGATCGCAACATTAATATTTATTTTGGCATTTAAGGAATAATAGTGTCACTCAATACAGATACCCAAGCAGCATTTGGACGTCGGGACAACGTTGTGTCAAGCGACCAAACGTCGGGGCGCAACGTCGGCACAACCTCGTGCCAACCCTAGTCTGCACTAATTTGGAGAATAATTTTTGGGTCGAAACGACGTTGGATACCGACGTTGGCTAGAAGCCTAATTTAGTACAAACTGCAACGTTGTTTAAAATCCTAATTCACGGAAATACAAAACTAATATGGCGTCTAAGTCGCGTTTTATCCTAAATTGGGATAATTATAGTAAAAATATTATATTTATAATTTAGTTAGAGACATATGTCAGATGGCAGTGAAGGAAAACAAAACAAAAGTATTTAAGTGTGGAGGATGTTTGAAGATCATAATTATTGAAACACTTTAACCGACTCTGTAACTCGTTACCCAAGGTAAAAAGTTAAACGCAAACAACTTTATTGATAAATGTATTGTTTCTACTTTAAAAAATACTAATGGGCCTTGAAATTAAAGAAGTTTTAAAAATTTTCTTGAATTTTTTTTTTAGTAAAATGAGAATAATTTATTCGCATTCGAAAAAATTGTTTCCGCGTATTTTTTAGGGTCAAATATTTCAAGTTAATGTATTCAAAAAGCAGGAATTGCTATTTTAAGAACGAAACATTTTCTTATTTAACAACATGGCGGCTTTAACTTTGTTGTTTTGGAGATTAAGATGGAGTAGTTCGAGTAGTCGCATACTGGACTAATAAAGTCGCAGTTCGGCCTTAACAGGTAGTATACTAGTCGCAAGATTGCCTAATTTAGTCATTCTAGAGTCTAGCTTGTGCCGCCCTCTATAATCTAAATAAACGAGGAAGTGTCGGTAATATATGTCGATGTATATTTAAATTTAGTTTTATATGTACCTTTCTTATGTCCCATTTTAATTAAGTTTTTTTTTTATAAAAACAAAAACAGCACTGAACTGTCTGACTGAACAGAACAATGAATTGAAAATTTAAGATTTAAGGTTATGGTTCAATACAGTTGCAAAAAGGTAGTGACTCTACGTCCTACCAACGTAAGAATAAGGAAATCTAAACAACGTTGGAATTAGTAAAACAGACGACGTTTGCATAACGTTGGAATAGGTCCTGAAACTGACGTCGGAAAACTCTATATTATCCAACGTTGTAACTACGTTGTCCAAATCACCTAAAGATCACTTAAGCAAAAAAGGTTACAAGACAACGTTTATTCGACGTCGCAGAAGCTTCTACTTTGCTGTAGTACTAGTCCAACGTCGGCACAACGTTATAAAAACGTTTAAATTTATTTTAATACCCAAGGTAGAGAGCTAACTATTTTTGTAACTAATCCAACGTTGTGTTTAGTAAACATGTGGTCGCAAGTCGTGAAAATGCTACTTGGGTAGTATAATTTTCTGTTTGTAATAAAATAAAAAAAATTGGCTCCGGGAGGCACGTATAGCCGCCCATACTAAAATATGTTAATAAAAAGTTGGTAGGCAGTACTTTTAGTTTCAATTATCTAAAAAACTGCCACTTTGACTGATTTTCATGTTATTACAAATTTTGTTGCAAATATTATTCCTAATCTTAAATTGAAAACCGCGTTTCGCTAGCTACTGTAATTTTGGAGTTACTATTTTTTAAAATTTTTAACCCCCTCCCATACCCCCTTACCAAACTCCCACCCCCACCAAAAACTAATAGCCAGATTCTCGGGTGCCAAAGTATTTTTGTGCCAAATTTGGATAAAATCGGTTTAGCGGTTTTTGAGTTATCGTGTTACAGACAGACGGACAGACAGACAGACAGACAGACACCATGAAAATATTTATAAATATGCGCCTTTCAGATTTTTGAAAAAGTTCATGGTTTACTAGATATTTCGAAAAAAAAACAAATTTCGGCTATTTTAAAAATTGTCCCTAATTCCATTATAAGCTATTTTAGACAAAAAGTTTTCAGATAAAAGTTGTAGATAATCACATCCTTAATGAGATTGTGTCCTCCGTTTTTTTTTCTAAAGCCTGTCATTTTTGACATATGACACAAACATATGTTTTTTTAAATGGAAACCATAATTGGCCATGGCTTCATAAAAAGCGCCATTTTTAAAGCTTTTTAGCGATATAAGCTATAATATGTTTTCTTCGAAAAATTACTGAGTTATAGCCAATTCTTATCATTTTTAAACAATTTCATTTAGTTAGCCATTCAAACAAGTTCAATCGCCGTTGCTCTCAGAAATATGAAGCTCTTTACAACCAAACTTTGTAAATTAAAATAAGCAAATATTGTAAATATGAATTTTTCAAATGAAGAAAAGCGTGTAAATACTCGCGCATCAATAGACCCAAGTAGCATCTATCTGACTTCGAACTAAATCTGACCTGAAACGACGTCAGACTTTGTGCAAATTTAGGTCGGGTGCTCGTGATACGACCTGTGACGTCGCTTACCTATTAAAAGCGACGTCGTTGGATCCGAGTCGGTAAATCCAACGATCTGTCAACGTACAAAATAACAACGTACCATTTTTATTAATTTCCCAGCGTCGGCGTCGTTCCTACGTTGGCTTGCATGACGTACACATACTTGAACTAGCCCGACGTCTACCCGTTGTCCGAATAGGATACGTCTCACTGATAATCCCTAAACTAACGTCCAATTATATTTTGTTGTATTTTATGTTCATATTTATAACCTAATTTACGTATCTCTATTTATGTCCGTAAATACAACCCATTAAGTAGCATTTGCGACCTAATGAACATCATGAACATAACCTAATAAAAAGTTTTTGTAAACAAACTTATTTTTTTTTATTATGCCTAAAAAAACACTAAAAAGGCATTTAGACATTCATCTACATTTTACAGAAAGAGGTCGAGGCTTTTGCAAAATAATAATAGTAGTAGTGATGTCTTGCCTCCACCCGTAAATGCTTTTTATCTGGAAGAGATGCTGCATTACACTGGTGCATCTTAATTTCATTTTTTAGCTTAGGATACCAGCAGGCCCCATCCTTCTCCGACATGTGAGGTTAGGCTTAAAAAAGTGGCTGCCCATTTTTTTTAACGAGAAAACAAAAACTAAAATATAGTTGCACAAATCACTGATACGCAAAACACAAAGTGAGGTTACGTGGCGTACGTTGGAATTATATACGTCATAATACGATTGCCGGTCGTCCGGTTTGATGACTTCGATCGTGTGAGACGACTAATGTTGGAGACCCGGTCGGAATTGGTATATTGGTAGTTCATATTAAGTCGGACACAGAAATCCGCCATTCTTAACACGTATCCGATTGTCGGCCATTTTAAAATCGTTTTTTGTTTTAAAATTTATATTCACATTTCGATTTCTAGTAGAATAATATTGATAAGGTTAAGTTTGGGGGGAACCACAGTACAATTTTATGATTAAACCAGCTAGAAAATTAAAAAAATATTTTGCGATTTACTTTTTTATAGATATTTTTATTTCATAAATCTACCTAGTTTCATCAGATATATCAAGAAAGTGACTTCCGTTGACAAAACTGATGTCTGGATTAATGATTCAGAATTATTATAATATGAAATTAAATAGGCACTTATAGTTATATTCGAGGAGTGATTATGAATCCATTTGTAATTAGGTAGTTTGGTTAGGTTTTTATGTATTCTTGGTAGCGAATATGAAACCAAACGTAACGTAAGTGCTTAGCGACGAATTTTAAGTAACTAAAATCCAACGTAATATGACGTTGGTAATTGGTAGAATTACATTCCCTATTAGTTCAGATACCGACGTCGAGGCAACCCGAATCTGTATTCCCCATTTATGTGCAAATAAGGGTCGTCAGGCGGTCGAACCGACGTTGGTACCCGACGTTAGATAACGTCCAAATGCTACTTGGGGAGTGTTTCCATCGTGACTTTTATTATGACCTCCTGACCCCCATAATGAAACCAACCTAACCCCCCCCATAATGAAAGAAATATTAAAAATTATCTATATCATAATAAGATAAACTCAGGGATAGGAAGAGGTGAACTAATTGCATGGGCCTTCTCGATCACCTAACCTATCCATTTTAATTTTTTTTATGCGGTATGGTTAACAATAAGGTACGAGAGAAGTTTAATTAAGTCGACCGGTCCTTCTGTGAGAATAGGTAATATTCAGTTTTAAAAAGATGTAACTCAAAACAATGGCGGATTTTTTGAACATTTTCTAAAATAACTTAAAGTATATGCAGTGACTGCAGTGGTATTATTTTTTTAAGTTTTAGTTTGTGTAATGTAAATTCTAAAGAACCGTTTAGTAATATATTCTGACTTTTTATAAGTTATAATCATAACAGAATAAGAATGCCATGTAATCTAAGTGAAATTATTCAAGAAAGATAAGAATTCGAAAATCGTTCTCTAAAAAAACATAACATTCACGGGTCAACGTATCCTCGAAAATGTATGGTCAAGAAAAGTTAAATCAATAATCTTACACGCTTTTCTTCATTTGAAAAATTCATATTTACAATTTTTGTTTATTTTAATTTACAAAGTTTGGATGTGGCAGCTTCACATTTATGAGAGCAAAGACGATTAAACTTGTTTCCATGGCTAACTAAGTGAAATTATTTAAAAATGATAAGAATTGGCTATAACTTGATAATTTTTTGAAGAAAACGTATTACAGCTTATATCGCTGAAAAGCTTAAAAAATGGCGCTTTTTGTAGTCATGGCCTTTATGTTTTCCAATATTAAAAATTGATTTTTAAAAAATAATTCTAACTCAGAAAACCAAAGATTTATTTATTTTTAACTTATTTAATTAACAATAGAAAAAATTGATATGGTGACGGGCAGAGATTCGTTCTGCACTGCTGTCGATAGATCAATCCGTCGTTCGAAGTCCTGTCTTCGCTATTTATAATTAAAGGGTATCTTGCATCAGCATTATTGAACAATGAAGGCTGGATACATAACTCCTCCCTGCGAAGAAGAAACTCTAGGGTGGACTAACTTGAGTTTCGCTAATCATCCTTGGATGGGGAACGGGCTTCGGTTGAAGTTTTCTTTTTCTAAAAATGAAATAAGAAGTTGCAAAAATAATTAAAATGAAGAAGATGCTCCAAAGTGTCCAATTCACTGCATAGGAATGAATGTAGAAGTTTTCCATTGGGTTTTCTTCTTCTAACTGAATTAAATGCATTTTGTCCAAGGGTACTTTTTCAATATTTAATTTCTTGATTGGAATAACATTTATATTTGTCAATGTCTGTATTCCAGAAATCAATACAGGGTGTGTACTAATAATTCCTTGTTTATTGTATAAGTCGCTTGTGTCACAATTTTTCGGTAATGTGAATAAATATGTTCCTTTCAGGGCCATTACTTGTTTTTCTTCACATATAGTAGTTATTTTTTCTTCTTTTGGAAATACTGCAATATAATGCATTTGGTCTACTTCTTCTATGATGTTATTCTTCATATTGATAGATATTTGATTACAAGTTTGTGTATTCTTCGTAGTGGATAGTATTGACGTAACGCAATCTTCACTTTGAGGTAGTGGTAGGAGATGACCTCTTTGGTAAAAATACTTTGTACTGGTCTTCATACATTCTTCAGTGTCGTATTGATACTCATGTTTTCCCAGGATAAGGTAATTTGAAGGTGGGATAATTATTGTTTGATTAACATTAGGAATAGAATATAAATGATAATATTCTAAAGGATGTGGATGTATCAATGGATAGCGATACGATTTTGTGTATATAGGAATTTCGTCTTTCATCTTAATTTGGTGTTTTATAGTATTAGTAAATGTTAAGGGTATATTTGGTTTATGAAAAATATCTGAATATGAATAACATAATTTTAAAAGTTTGCTTTGTTCCTCTCTATTCATATGATCAGTTCTAATAAGTGAACTTATATCAGTATGACCATCTGAATAAGGACTATTAATAGAAAAATTATATAATTCGAAATTATTTAAATCTAAGCTATTAACTTTTATTGGACTATATAAGCATATTTCTTGAATATCGTCGGTGTTGTTATGAATTTCTACTGGTGCATAATTATTTTTAGAAACTGTTATACAGGCTGGGATAAAACAATTATAAATATTTGTATTTTCTAAACTTATTTGACCATTAGAAATTGAAACAGGAATATTTAATTGTTCGATAGATTTTGATTCAATTCGAGCGAAAAATAAAAGTTTATTTTTTGCTTCGTAGTGAGATAAAGGAATTTCACTAAAAGGTGTTTTTAATTTATAGTTATTCAAATCTAATTGAACTTTCAAATCTTTTAATGTTTCGTAACCTATTAAGCCGTCAAAAAAGTGATGAAATTTAAAAAGATAGAATTTCATTTTTTGTTTTGATCTAAATTCATCAAAAGCTGGAATTTCTATGCAGTGATTCCTAGTTGTTTGGAAAATTGATGATATAGTAAATGGTTCCTTTTTTATTGAATTAAAAAAGTATTTTTCAGCCTTTTCTGGATTTATAAAAGATTTAGTTGCACCGGTATCAATTAATAATTTTAAAGGAGGATTTTTAATTTGAATATATATTATGGTAAATCTTTTTTATCGTATATCGAGTGAATTTCTACGTGTTCTGTTTTTTTTCGTTGATGTCGGGAAAATTTTGTTCACTGTATGATGATGTATGTGGTTGGTTTGTGTCATCATATGTTTGAGTTTCATTTATAGTGTGTGTATCAGCATATTCCGACTCTGAGTAGTACTGTTGTTCGGGATAGGAATATTGATAACCTTCGAACTCATTGTTTGAAATATAAGGCTCATTGTCATTTTGTTCTACGTTGTGCAATTCCTCGAAAACAAAATGAGGTGGATTAAAATATCTTTGTTGATTTACGGGGGGTTTTGGAAAAGTTCCGTGAGATATTCCGCTCATCGGTGTAGGTTTTGGAAATTGATTTTGAGGGATATTTTTAGGTTTAAAAACATTGGTATTTTTATTAGTCCCAAAAACTTGTTTGTTTGTGAAAAATTTGGGCGGTGGTAACTGCCTCGGTCTTATATCAATAGGTTGAGAAGGAAAGACAGGTTTGGTTTGTCTTGAGTAATTACTTGGAAAGTTCTGTCTAAAAGGTTGATTAAATTGTTGATTTTGGAAGGGTTGGTTTGGAAAATATTGTGTGAATGTTGGAACATTAAATTTTGGTGTGACTTGTGGTATGTGTGGTTTTTGTAAATGTCTTATGTTATTTTCCGAAATTATGAATTGTCGTGCTGAAGCCAAACATTCTGGTCTCATAGCCCTAATGCTAGATCCTAATGGTTCTTTTAAACCTGCTAAAAATATTTTTCAATGCATGGGTGTTGTAAAATTGTTTTTTTAATTGTTTTGTTGCTTCAATAGTTTCGTGTGTGTCGATATAATTATGTAAAGCACTTAAAATAGACATGACACGAGTGTGGAATTGTAGTGGTGTTTCATGATTTGTTTGTCTTAATTGGTCTAAATCAAAAAGCAAGCCATTTTCATCACGTTGGTCTCCAAAATGAGCAATTAAGGAAGTTTTAATGCTTTGCCAATCTTTATTTATAGAAATACTATAAACCTCTCTAGCCTTGCCAATTAATTTTGAATATATGCCATAAATAATAGTCACATTTTGAACACAATTTACATGATCTGGTCTAGTATCCCAAAAATTTGAAATTAAAGTATTAGCTGTCTCTAAGTAAGATGATAGTTCTAATGGATTACCATCGAATTTAGGTACAATTTCTAAAATTTTTGCATCAAAATGCGGTGGTGCTGACATGTTTAAGTTTTCTGGTTTTTCTAAATTAAAATTAAACTTATCTTTAGAACTTAACTTAGGAGAATTAATTGATAAGCTAGATAATAAATCTGTTAAATCTAAATCCGCGTTTCTAGTTACGTTTTCTTGTCTTAAATCTAATTCGCTTAAATTTAACTGGCTATTTTCGCTACTTTCCGCCAAGGAATTAGGTGATAACGAGGGAATTGACATGGACAGGAAGTACTTACATGAGTAGTCTTCTCACCATAGCTTTTTTTTTTTTTTTCTGACGTTGACCGGGAGATACAGCGAATAGAGTGACCCACTTCGTTTGTCCTAGAAGTGCCGTAGTCTGTCTCTATTTTCTCTCCAGCGGTTCCTCTTCTTGCACGATGCACGAAGTTCTTTTCTTGGAATTAATGCTTGATAGCAAAGAGATGATTTTTTCTCAAAATTTCTCTTTTCCAATCCTACCGATGACTGCGCCACTTTTATGTTTTCCAATATTAAAAATTGATTTTTAAAAAATAATTCTAACTCAGAAAACCAAAGATTTATTTATTTTTAACTTATTTAATTAACAATAGAAAAAATTGATATGGTGACGGGCAGAGATTCGTTCTGCACTGCTGTCGATAGATCAATCCGTCGTTCGAAGTCCTGTCTTCGCTATTTATAATTAAAGGGTATCTTGCATCAGCATTATTGAACAATGAAGGCTGGATACATAACTTGGCCAACTATGGTTTTCATATAAAAAAACATATATTTGTATCATATGTCAAAAATGACAGACTTTAGAAAAAAACGGAGGACACAATCTCATTAAGGTTGTGATTATCTACAACTTTTATCTGAAATATTTTTGTCTAAAATAGCTTATAATGGAATTAGGGACAATTTTTAAAATAGCCGAAATTTTTTTTTTCGAAATATCTAGTAAGCCATGAACTTTTTCAAATATCTGAAAGGCGCATATTTATGACCCCACAAAACTGCAATTCTTTCCCCATTTAACCGACTCTCTATCTCCAATAGTTTCCGAGATACCCATAGAGAACATCGTAGAAAACTCACCCTGTATAGATATGTTAATTTATAGTCTTAAAAAAGGGAATAATTTTGGTGTATTGTGGCTAAACATTCTACAAATTTTCTTTTTAAACTTATATGATAATTAAATACTATATTGAACAAAAGGACTCGAAATACAAATTAATTTATTCATATAATCGATATGACCTTTCAAAATGTTAGGCTATAAGGAAGAGTCTCCATTGAAGAATCTTAAAATTTATATATCCTGAAACACACAGAAAGCAATAATACGAAGAGTGTTAAAAATACTCTTGTTATTGACGTATTCGATTCCTGTTTGACATTCTCGACCATGGTGTTTAAAAGGAAGTCTCCATCTTAAAATCTTAAACGTGTCGTCCTTTAAACAAAGATCAGCTTGAATTGACGGTTGCTGTGGTTGTTCTTTTATAAATATTAATCGCAAATATATTAATAGTTTGTTGGATTTTGGCAACAGGTGCTAAAATAGTTATTAATAAATGCGGGATGACGTTGTGGACTTTTTCTGTTAAATATGGAAGTATATTATCTCTAAAAAATTACAGGTAAATGAAACTTGATGTTGTCCTTGAGTGGCCACTTCAGCAGCTTTTGAATTTTAAATTGTATAACTTATTAATGAATATCTATTTTTAAAGTTGGTTATTTATTTAGATTTTACAGCTGCTTACTTTGTTGAAGTTAGTTGTTTTTCTTTTTTAAAATAGGTGATTAATATATAATCATATTGATTTATATTAAAGTAATAAATAGAATGAAATAGTCGATAAGGTAGTTGTCAAATTCATAATTTGACAATTACCAGTACGCATTTGTTGTCTGTAAAGCCTACTAGATTAAAGTGGTGAACTTTTAAAAACTCTGGAAAGGTAATTTTGTGGTCTTTTCAATTAATCAAGAATATAGAGGGTGCCCCTTATAAATATTTTTTGTTGATAACATTTAAAAAACTATTCATTATAAAAAAAATACTTAAACCATTAAATTCTACGTAAAATGTGTTTTGAAAATGTTTTCATAGACATACAAAATTTTCCATTACAGCAATTTTTTTAAAATACACATTTTCCAAAAACACACCGTTACTCTGAGACGGTAAAAGATATTGATGTGCGGTTTTACCATTATGTTTTAATGAAAATTGAGCTTTAGACACCTACATTATTTTTTGTCTATCTCCTTTAGAAAGGGGAGTTTTATAAGTATCCAATTTGGATCAACCTATACAGGGTGGGGCAATAACAGAATTTAAAATGTCAATATTCTATAGGTATAGTGATAAATGAGGTCTAAATTATAAACTTTGATACCCTTGGAGAAATGAAGCTTTAAAATTTTTACTGCAATTAAATGGTGAGGTTTAAGTGTTATAAACCTTTATCAAATTTACCTTTATTTCAATCGGAGAATCTAAAAATACAATAATATACAGGGTGTCCCGTTTAAAAAAATACTACTAAAATATTTTTTACTTATTTGGGACACTGTGCATCTTGTAAAATTATTTTTTCATTGTAGCTCTAATAGTCCTTCAACGAACCCAAAGCTTTACAAATATTTATAGGTCAATTGGCAAAGAAAAATTGCTATAAATTAATTTGAAATATGACTGGGTTGGCCCCTAGGAAGCGTAACAGGAATCTTATATAGGACACAATGCATATTTAACAAATAGACTACGAAACTCGAGTCATGTTTTATATAATTTCTATTAAAAACAAAACGTGGACACGTAAGGTAATTCTATAAAACAGCTGTTTGAATATTCGCACGTATACTATAAAACCTCTCTAATTATGTCTGCAGCAATACACTGCAATTAACATTTTGCTGTATAGTGCAAAAGCTAATTCGCAACGGCAACGTAATATGACCTTTACAAAACAATAACAACTATGGTCTCGATTTTCAACTAAAAGTAGGTAACTAGTGTATGTGTGTGTCATTTTTCATGCGATTTGTACCGTAAGTACCGTTTTATTTTGATTACCTCTCCTTTTAATTTTGTTTGGCCATTTATACGTACCAGATGTTGCGTAATTAGACGTTGACAGGTGCCTAGGTACGTTTAATATGCATATATTTTTTTGCAATATATGGGTTAATATACTTTTAGTTTATAAGTTAAAACACAGCTTATTCTCTACCAGCTGGTCATCATACACAGCATACATATGCCAGCAGTGAGAGCGCCGGTATCATTTGTTTTACTAAACGAAGATTCATTGAAGCTCAGAATTCTGCTGATTACATTAATATAGGCGAATATTTAGGTAGGTAATAGGTATGTACGCAATTTTTCCTGCAAATGATCGTAAGTCGACAGACTGGGTATAAATAGGTTGTTTAGAGATAGTTACACCCTATATATTGCGATGAAGATATACAGGGTGCTACAAGTTCGAGGTACGAGCATTGGTATCTCGGTAACCGTAATAGATACGAACATGGTTAAATTGGGCTAAAGTTGCGCTTTGTGATGTTCACCAAGATGTCATCAATAAAGTTTTAAAAATTTCAAGGATTGCTGAGTTTTTTTGAAAAAACGGATTTTTTTGAAAATCAATTTTATCTTTTCCTGTCGTTACTTTTAAGAAAATCAAAAAACTAATTGCATTTTCTCATAGTCACTTTATTAGGGCTATCTGATAGTATTTTTAGATTTTCAAATTAGCTGATAATTTGT